ACACCAGAACAGCAACTCCAGTCACGTAATCAAAATCTGGCGGTTCTTCAGTAGGAAGGATGCGGTGGCGACTTGAACGTGACAAGTGAGACAGACCTCCGATGTAATAATCTCCCGGTCTCCCTCCACATCCAATATACTCTGGTTGCAAGGCAAAATCCGGAAGAACGGGAATCGGTGTGGGCGCAATGATCACTAAAAATATAAACAGACAACCCGGTCTATAAACTTCAGCCAGCTCTCGGATCTTTGAGCACTTGCAGTGAGTAAATAAACGCTCGCCTTTTTCTTTCCGCTCCTAGTAAAATCCGAGTAATGAAAGAGGAGGCGGTGTAGCGTGGAAGCCACCGCTTACGTGTTCAAAATAAACGTTGATCTCATCGTACACATGTAGACTAAATTTCACGAAAACGCAGATCGCATACACAAAGGTTTTTTCGCCCGCTATTGCTACATTATTCTGCATGATCGTTGCATCAGTGATGCACGCTGTTTCACTGATCATTGGCGTGCGTACGCACACACACAAAACTGAATAGGCACACGCAACAGTTGAATGTGCTGGAACAGAATGGAGAGATAAGGCTGAAGAGGGGGTTGGGTGCAGGCATCGACTGCCAGCACTGGCTCTCTCCACTCGCAGACCAAACTGATGCATAACTAAAATGTACGATGGTGGTACAAGCATAGCTAGACTGTCTGAAGTTGTAGCAACTGTCCTCCTGTGCGCGTCCTAACGAAGTTTTTAAAGCGACGGGCCTGGAGCGTCATGTTAAAGTGAGAACATGTGTGCGCACTCGCACGCAATATGTATCTTCGGTGGTCAAATTTTTGGTATACACGATGGATTCATCGTGTAACCAGTTTGCTGGTTCCGAAAGCGCTCGATAAGGTCAATCCGGATCGTAAATATGCAGTCAGTGACAGGTCCCATTACATTTTAACTGCATTTCTGAAATGCGTTGTGGATTCTAAAAACTTCCTTATGTGGGATTGTTATGTAGATTACCGTGCAGCACAATCCCATCATATTTCGTGCACGTCAGGATGACGGCTCCTGAATGCACTTCTCTTCGCCCGCATACAGGAATCCAGCTCGATAAAAACGACTACTTAATAAATGTGCATTTTTTTCTGTTGACTTTGGACGCCCTTAAAAAAACATGTTTAATAAATGTCTTTTCTTGTACTCATTTGATAGCCCATTACTCACTTGAAATGTTATATTCGAGGAAAGATTGTCTTTTGGTTTTAAAAAAAGTTTCTAATCCTGAGATTTTTTAAGAACGCATGAGACTTATTTGAGTAGCATCGTATCTGTCAGTTTATTCATGTCTCTTATGAAATACACAACATAGTCAACATGCATTGCTAATGTTTATGAACACTATAAGGTATCTCCCTGATGGCACAGAGTAATATATGATTTGCCCTACACGAAAAACATTTAACTTGTAGACTGAAAACCCTAAACACAAATGGAACGACACATCGAACTGAAAATTATTGCGGAATTGAAAAACTTCTTAAAACCAAAACATACCCCTCCTTAAAGTATAAAATTTACAGAAGACATAATCTGCCACCAGATAAATACCGGGAGGTATATGTTTATGCACCTTTCCTATAAAACATATCAAACTTTGTAAGGACATTTAAAGTCCAATAGCGAAAAAACACATACTTCTTATGTAGACATTTCCTACCGACCGTGATTGTTGCAGGTGCTAAAAGGAGCGCATTGCAAATCCGGCGTCCGCGTGTGTCTGAAATATCTTCGGATTATGCCGTACAAGGACCGATATAACAACCTCACAACGACTATAACGGTTAACATTTTATGAGATCGATCACCGCAAAGCGGATAGCAGCCCTGGATCGTGGTGATGCCTTTTTGCATTAGTGAACCCACGGCTTGCTCACCCCTAATTCGATGAGGCTTGCAGATTTTTGACGCATTTAGCGCAACACTACACCAAGTTTGCCAACCTCCTCTGGCGAGTTCCAAGTCTTCTCTTCCATTTTCAGATGCCTGACTGAGGACTTGGGTACAGAAGAACAAAGTCCGCAGATGGTCTCAGATGACGCCAAGCCGCCCGCTC